CGGGTGCAGATCACTGTATGTTATGAGTCATGTTTCTTAAAAAAATCACAACGGTTTGCAGCTGATTCTGTTCACGCAGGTTTAACCACAGGATTTTAATTTGGATGTTCTTTCTGTTTAGCAAAGCAAAACCACAAACAGTTAAAAAGAGGAAGTATAACAACAAACTACAGTTTGTAGGTTTCTAGTTTATGCAGGTAAAAGTGCAGCTTTGTGTAAAACGATACTGTTCTGAACAATGATAAACTGCACAGCTGTGAGTCCTTCTAACACATTTTTACTACAGTTAACCCCAGTGTAATGTTGCTCATCAGTAACTCTGCTGCACTGTATTATTCAGTGTGAAAACCGCAGCCTTCAGTTCTGGAAACTCAAACTAAAGATTCTGTTTGCTAAGTTCTGTGTTTCAGCAAACATGAATTCTGGGTAATGAATGTGTGAATGAATGACATCAGTAACAAGTATCATGAGAAAAGTGATGTCAAGTTCTGTGTGTGAAAAAAAAAACATCCTTTAGAATTCATTGTTTTATTGTTTTATATACAAAAGTTCCAGAAACATCAACAACACCATCATCATCACCATCATCATCATCACCATCATCTTCATCACCATCATCTTCATCACCATCATCAACATCATCATCATCACCACCATCTTCAACTTCATCTGCTTCTTCTTTCTCATCAGTCAAAACTTCAGCGTTCACTGGTGTTTCCACATCAGCAGGTGATCTTGTGCTGAAATACAAACATGTGGTCATGGGTGAAGCTTGTGAGGAGACCTGACGCCCCTAGTGGTTGAAACATACTATTAGAAATATATTTAAATATATATTAGAAATATATTAATATTTAAATGTAATATTTTATTAATTAAAAGTGTATTTTTAGGACAAACTGGCTGGTACATTCAGCTACACGCACAACTGAGCAAGTGTGGAACAAGACGTTATTTAAAAGGCTTGTGTGAATGTACAATGTTAAACCTGTGAATCCAGTATCATGATCCGGTCAATCCTATTTGAAACGTCCCATGATCTGATCAGATATTTAGCTCAGATGATCAGATTCTCAGATTATTTCTCCTGTGTTTTCAGGCTCTTCTCTGATTGTCCCTCTGGTTCTGGTTCTTCTGGTTCTGATCATCGCTGGACTCTTATTACTGTTTCTCTGTAAGAAGCGTCAATCTCCAGGTAAAAATTCCTTCTTCTTCAGATGCAGAAACGTCTCGGTTACGGATGTAACCCTCGTTCCCTGAGTAGGGAATGGAGACGTTATGTCGAAATGACAATGAAATGGGGTTTGCTTAGAAGCGGGTATAAAAGGAAGGACGCCCGCAATATACAGATATGTTTTTTTCGCTGAGGAGCCAAGACTGAACTCGGCCTGTTCCAGCGGAACAGCGGAAGTGGCAGGGAAGCGGTCATTTCGACGTAACGTCTCGGTTTCCCTACACAGGGAACGAGGGTTACATCCGTAACCGAGACGTTCCCTTTCATAGTCACTTCCAGTTACGTCGAAATTACGACGAAATGGGGTTCCCAGTCCAATCACACACCACCTCGGCTGTCTTCCAGTGCCCTGCGTAAGTCTGAGCTCCCTGTCGTGAGACTAGTACGGACGAAGGACTCCTGCTTAACACGGGAATACCAAGGTACACACTCAAAAAAATGATATGTTGGCTTTACTTAACTTTTTTTTGTAAACAGGTTCCACCGGTTCCACATAACTATGTTTCGTTAAACAAACATAATATGTTCATGTAACTTCAACATCATGGAATTTGGTCATTTTAAGCGACCCAATTAATCTCTGAGCTAATGAGTTAATTAAGTGAATAACTGAGTGATGATTGAGCATTATTGAAGACACCTGATGTTAACAAGCAGAATCTCTGAAGGAGAAAACTGGAATGTTTAAGTCACCATTATGGAGATAAGTATTCGTTTTAGTTGGGCTCTTGACCATTAACTTATTAACTTTAGATTTTGTTTGGTTGCTGTACATGAGTTATAACAGCTGGATGAACAACAAACAAAGGTCATCTGATGGTATTGGTTGTGTTTTAACATAATAATTATTTCACAATCATTTGACCTGAGTCACTGAACTTATATTAACCGAATTTCTGAGTTAAGTTTACCTTATGGATAATAACAGCACTGTCATTGTAGAGCATACTATTTTTAGACTTTTCAATGAAATTCAAATTATCAAATCAAGAAATAAAAAATAAACTTCTTAAAAAAAAATGTTGAGTAGGCACACACAGACATCAAGAATCAGCATATGAATCTCAGCAATGGTGACAAACAGATCATAAGCTCATTATTTATTCATGCAGCAATGCATGATGGGAGCCATGAATGAGTTTTGATTGGTGGCACCCAGAATGCACTGCAACATGCTTTATAATTGTCACATTGGTGAGATTCACAGGCTGATTCCTGATGTCTGTGTGTGCCTACTCAACATATTTTTTAGGAAGTGTCTTTTTTATTTATTGATTTGATCATTTGAATTTCATTGAAAAGTAAAAAAAATAGTATGCTCTACGATGACAGTGCTGTTATTATCCATAAGGTAAACTTAACTCAGAAATTCGGTTTCATATAAGTTCAGTGACTCAGGTCAAATGATTATGAATAACGATATGTTAAAACACAACCAACACCATCAGTTGACCTTTGTTTTATTGTTCATCCGCTGTTATAACTCCATGTACAGCAACCAAACAAAATCTAAAGTTAATAAGTTAATGGTCAAGAGCCCAACTAAAACACACACTTATCTCCATAATGGTGACTTAAACATTCCGGTTTTTCTCCTTAAGAGATTCTGCTTGTTAACATCAGGTGTCTTCAATAATGCTCAAATAAAATCATCACTCAATTATTCACTTAATTAACCTCATTAGCTCAGAGATTAATTGGGTCGCTTAAAATGACCAATTCCATGATGTTGAAGTTACTATGAACATATTATGTTTGTTTAACGAAACATAGTTATGTGGAACCGGTGGAACCTGTTTACAAAAAAAAGTTAAGTAAAGCCAACATATCATTTTTTTGAGTGCACTGGGAAGCATATCTCAGAGAAAAAATATGCAATCAGTGCCTGCCGAAGACTTACAGAATACACATGTGACCGGAAGGGGGGTGCATACGGAGAACACTGGGGTGTCCAGCCCGCAGGGTGGAATATTTTAACCCCAGGGGTGGCAGAGTGGCTTGCCAAGGGAAAGACACATGCTCAGAGAGGCTTACAGTGGAAATACCAACGCATTCTCATCCTTTGGCGTCATATAGGTGACGCCATATGACAAAACGTCGAAATACTACGCACATGGCACCCTTTAGCGTGAATATAACACGCGAAGTGATGGGTAGGTTTAGGTGTGGGGTAGGGTCTGCGTCTCATATTCACGCTAAAGGATGCCAGTCAACTTTATGACGCCTTGGGTTGGGCGTGTTATATTCACACTAAAGGGTGCCATGTGCGTAGTATTTCGACGTTTTGTCATATGGTGTCACCTATATGACGCCAAAGGATGAGAATGGGCTCGAAATACACATGTGGGGGTCACCCAGAGGGGAACCATGCACATGGCGGCACCTAGCCAATCGCGAAAGCTGCCGGAGGCATAACTCTGGCGTTGACGTCAACAGCGCTGGAGGAACTCAGAGCTTGTGAGGCTCACCTGAGGAGAATATCGCACGTATCCAGTCCGTGGAGTGGAATGGCGAGCAAGCAAAGACACCTGAGCGGGTCCTAGTACCGGCTGGTGGAAGCGAGTACATGAGGTGGCTCTACTCGGAGATTATAGAATCTGGCGAATGTGTTGGGTGTCGCCCAGCCTGCAGCTCTGCAGATGTCTGTTAGCGAGGCGCCATGCGCTAGAGCACAAGAGGAAGCCACACTCCGGGTGGAGTGCGCTGTCACACCAAGGCGGAACGGTCGACCTTGCTGCTGGTAAGCCAAAGCAATGGCGTCCACTATCCAGCCTCTGCCTAGAGAGAGCCTTTGCAGACCTGCCGTCTTAGGCCAAAGTATTATCTTGCGTGGAGAAAATAGATTGGGGTGTGGATGAGGGGACTCTCGCTCTATTGAGCTCATAGTCTCGACCGTTACATTGCGATGGTCATGTTCCCGCTGGGAGAACGTGACGCATCCACGAGCGCTATCTGAACATGATCGAAGCCCAAACACGTCAAAACAGCGCTCGTGCCCATCAGCTGAATCTATCAGAATACCGCACTCAGAAATACACAGGCAGATCATCTTTAAAAAGACGTGCCGCGTGCACGCAAGAGAAAAGCCCAGGGAGAAACACACGCGCTGTTCAGTTCAGCAGGCAGGAATGTGAAACTCGCTGGAACTCGCCATCACACCAACACCGACTGGAAGCTGCTCGTCTAGAAGATTCTCAAAGATAGTCAGAGAATAGGCTGCAAGAGTGAAGAGAACTTCTTGGCTCCGAAGCGAAAAAACCATATCTGCACATTGCGGCGTCCTTCCTTTTTATACCCACGCAGGTGGGGGCAGAGTTACGCCATGCAAATTCCGCAGACCCATTGCATTTCCTTGCCATTGGCTCTAAGAGGCTTCTAAGCGAACCCCATTTCGTTGTCATATCGACGTAACCCGAAGTGACTAAAGGGAACTCTGAGTTTAAAACACACAGATTTGTTGATCTTTTTCCACTTTGATTCTGTCACCACCTATTGGCTACAACAAGATGTGAGCAAAATACTGATATTTGATGATGTGTGAAAACATTTACACAAGATATTAGTGTTGAAATGCAGAATAAGGAATTTAGGACGCTTGTTTTTGGCAGGTGAGTGATTCGTCGTCTCAGACTGGACCAGGAAAACAAGTGGTGAGTCCAGTTACTGTATAAAATAAGATGATTTTTTTTAATCATAATGACAATGAATTCTAATGCCTTCAGTCCTTATCTTTATGTCTGTAAATAATTTCTCTGTCTCTCCTCAGGTTTCTCACACTGGTTGTGATTATGAGGAGATTAAAGACACTCACAAACAATTACCCACAAAACCCTCTGATTCTTTTAATACTGTTTATGCCACTGCCCAATTACCCACAAACCCCTCTGATTCTTTTAATACTGTTTATGCCACTGCCCAATTACCCACAAGCCCCTCTGTTTCTTCTAACTGCGTTTACGCTACAGTTGAGAAAGCCACTGGTGACTCTCAGTGCTGCATCACTTCTGTTGAGGATCTGAATTACACAGTGGTGAATTTCCACAAGGAATCTGACTGTCCTGACAGTGTTAGTATCAGGAATAATCAGGATTACAGTGAATACGCTGCTGTCAATCATCTCACTGCTTGACATGGCACATCAGAGAATATACATGAGCTGAACGTTTGAATTGGAAAAAGACATGTTTAAACAATAAGGTAACTGTAAATAATGAAAGGTTAAATAAGAAAAAAGAAGAACTAGGGTCTTTTTTTTACAAGAAAACGTAAAAGGAGGGGCATTTAAGATCAAGAATTTGCTCGTTTAAAGATATGGGCATAAATATATAGTGCAGTTTTATTTTTAATTCCTAAAAAAATATTCTCAAAGGTACAAGCAACAGACTTAAAAAATATTTAAATGTATTAGCCTATGGATCATTCATTTTTATTGCGTAATGTGAGTGATTTTAATCAAAGTAATAGTCTTATTTTAGGGGTTCTTTCGCTTGACCAAGAAAAATCTTTTGATCAAGTTGATCATATATTTTAAAGTATTACAAGAATTTGGGTTTTTACAGTATCTTATACAAAATTGTTGTATTCTAAAGCATTTGTTATGGGTTAAAGCTGGAGGTGAACTGAGTGCGATGTCCAGGGGTATCAGACAATGCTGTCCACTTTCTGGATAGTTATATAGTCTAGTAATTGAACCATTTTTGTGCAGATTAAGGAAATAATTTACTGGTGTTTCAATTCCAGATTTAAAAAGTAAATTTAAAGCATCCTTGTTAGTGTATGCTGATGATGTCACCGTGTTTAGAAAAGGTCAAGATGATGTGAAAGTTTTAACGGAAGTTTTGACGAAACGTTTTTTATGGAAATTATGAAAAAGCATCCTCAGCCAAAGTAAATTGGAGGATAAATGAGGTTTTTATTATTAGTAAGTGGGAAGAAGTAGGACCTCCAAAACTACCATGTGGTTTACTTTAGGGTCAGAGAGGGGATACAAACATTAGTTTTTTTTAGGAAATGAAAATTTTCAGATGAGAAACCTGGAGGGATATGTTAATGGAGCCTTTATTGGAGTTGGTTTGTAAAATACAAAGGACAATCGTGAACCGTTTTTGGAGTGGGACACACTGGATCCATCCTACAGCACTTTATTTACCTGTCCATGCAGGAGGTCAAGGGCTCGTGGATGTGAGAAGTCGGTTGATTTCTTACCAGACACAAGCAGCACAGAAACTTTTATATCACAAAGACTTGACTTGGGCCCATACTGCAAGATTAATTTTGAAGAACGCAGGTGGGCTCGGGTCGGATAAACATTTGTTCATATGGACTTGGGAAAGGTGAGTCTGTCAGAGATTTCTCCCTTCTATAAGTCAATGTTTCAGTCCTAGAAAACAGTTTTTAAAAGTGGATATAGTGATGACACGGGACACTTCAGTCGCCTTACTACTTCAGTAAGCGTATCTGCTGTTTTGAAGCTTAATGGTGTTGTAAAAATCAGACACCACTTGGACGATGATGGGAAACCGGTTGGAATTCTTAAAGAAGTGACAGGATTGAAATCTGAACTTCTTGTTTCAAAAACTGACAGAGGAGATTTTGAGTGTAATTACCAAGTGGGCACAGAGAGTACATTGAAAGGGGTCGATTCGATAGACTTATGAGATACAGATGAAAATTTTCCAAAAATCAGAGTGTCTCTAGTTATACTTGAGGAAACAGTGGATGTAAATATGGACTTAATTTTGTCTTTTGATAGACCTCAGCTGGACTGTTTTGTATCAACATCAACAACATTCTACTATTCTTCAGTTAAAGGGTAACTAAACCCCTGGTCAGAGCCTGACTCCACCCACTGGCAATATTTGAAAAATGCTGGAAAAGTGGGCGGAGCCCAGCGGAGATAGAGGGGATGAACGGATTCTCTATCCTGATCGTTTTCAATACTCGCAATTCCAACTCCTGACTCGCTACAGTGGTTTTGATGAAACAATATGGTTTTTATACTGCCATGGGGTGTGGTAGCTCGTACCATGGGCGTGGTCAGCTGAAACCTGCTTACGTCAGCTCTCACCGCTACCCGTCACGAACTACCGCAAACATCCAGTAGGAAAATTCAACTGCAGTAGCCACCGTTCAACCTGAAGAGGGCAGCACTCAGACGTTTTTACACCATATATTGTAGAATTAAACCACTTTACCAAATGTCAAAAAAGTTACTCGAATCAATGAACAAGCACTAATAAAGCCCCAGTCTTACAGATCATTAACTAAAAAAAGTTGGTTTAGTGTTTAGTTACCCTTTAAGTCACACATCAAGTTTTTCTCAAGAGAATAACAGCTTCAAAGTGGCCAAGTTTGTTAGGATCAGACTTCCTTGTGCGGGACAGAGCCCTGTATAATCCTCCATTAGAGAAGAGAACAGCGGATCTGCATTGGAGGATCGGGGCGATAGCTACTGACAGACATGTGGTGCCCTGGAATACAGCAGTGGGGTGGGGAATTTACATTTTGTAGAATACAAGAAGACTTAGAATTTAATTTTAAATCTTTTTAATTTTCTTGTTTGTTTAAAGAATTTGATGAGGAATTGTCGGAGAAAATATTTTATTGGGGGGTCTAAGTATAGGTATTCTATGAAAAGGATGACATGCTTATTAAATTATTGAGATATTTATATAAGATATAAATGGTGATCAAATAAAAGTTGTTTAATTCTCTCTCTCTCTCCCTCTCTCTCCCTCTCTCTCTCCTCTCTCTCTCTCCCTCTCTCCCTCTCTCTCTGCTCTCTCTCTCTCAGTCTTCTCTCTCTCTCTCTTCTCTCTCTCTCTCTCTCTCTCATCTCTCTCTCTCTCTCTCGTCTCTCTCTCTCTCTCTCTCTCTCTCGTCTCTCTCTCTCATCTCTCTCTCTCTCTCTCTCTCTCTCTCTCTCTCTCTCTCTCTCTCTCAGGGGAAGGGCGTCTCTGACACATTCAGCTCTTCATGTTAAACATGTAACCAGGAAAGAAACACTCAAAACTCATCTGAACACACACCGAGAGCTTCAGAAGAACTGAATCTACTAACAACAGAGAAGATCATTTAATAAGAGAGAAGAATGAAGATCATCTGGACTTTCACTCTGATGATGATTCCTGGTAAGAGTCTGAACTCAGAGTACATCATGGAAAACACCACAGATTTGATCTTTTACTTCAGTTCATGTTGTTGTACTGACTGTTGAAGAAAGTTCAGTTCTGTGTTATTAATTAAATTACATTTCTTTATATTAAAGTGTTTTAATGCTGGTTTGTTGTAGGTGTCTTGAGCTCCGTGAACGTTACAGGATATTCAGGAGGAGGAGTCACGATCAAATGCAAAACTGAGGAAAAATATAAGACAGATGCAAAGCATTTCTGTAAAGGTGAACAGTGGCCAGGATGTTCTGACCTCATCAGGACTAATGTAACATATAAATGGGTTAATTCTGGAAGATTCTCACTGTATGACAACACAAGTTCAGCAGTCTTGAAAGTAACCATCAGACATCTGATAGAGGATTCTGGGAAGTATTACTGTGGAGTTGATAAATCAGGAAAAGATTCCTACACTGAAGTGAATCTGAAGGTTTTAACAGGTGAGAAACTGAGACCCTCAAACTCATGAAGATCTCCACAACATCACGATACTCAACACTGACTGTAATCACTGACGTTCACATGTGTAACTCATAAAAGACGCCATCAATAACATTTTTATCTCCTGATGAAAGATTTACACATAATCTTGAATTACATTCATAAAGGTTGCAGCAAAGTGAGCATAAATGTGTTTATATTGAGAACAAAATGACTAATTATATGGGTTTGTGTTTAACAGGTCAACAAAGCAAATCTTTAAGAGGATATTCAGGAGGAAACGTCAATATAAGCTTTAGATATGAGCAGAAAGACAAGACAAATGTGAAAGTTATAAAAACTAGAGCAGGAAGGAAACATGACATACGATTCTCCCTTCATGATGACATATCTCCAGGACTCGTACGTCTGTTTATCGGAGATCTGAATAAGAACGACTCTGGAGAATACAGAATTACAGTCAAAGTTTCTGAAGATTACAGTTTCTTCTCTGAGTTTGATCTGGACATCGGGGACGGTGAGCTACCCTTAGTCATTTATGCATTTGTTTTTTTGTGTTAGAATTCATGAATATGTTGTTTAATTTTAACATTAATGCACTCGTGAAGAGCATCAGCCTATCTGACCGTTTTATTCTTCATTTCATTTTTAAATGTCCAGTACTTGGACATCTGGACCCAGTTTTAAAACAGCAGCATTAATAGTTGTGTGTGTGGTCATGTCCTATTACTGCAGTGTCTGGTACTGCAGCATGTGGTAATAGTGATCATTTGGACACAGTATTACAGTTGTTAACATTAGTACAGGTGTGGTCATCTGAATGCTGTAGAAGTGCAGGTTTTAGTACTGCTGTGAGTCCTTTTACCACACTTGTACTACAGTTAATGCAGTTTAATGTTGCTCATCAGTAACTCTGCTGCACTGTATTATTCAGAGTGAAACCGCAGGCTTTAGTTCTGGAAACTCAAACTAACAGCTTAAACTTTCCGTTTGCTAAGTGTCTGTGTTTCAGCAAACATGAATTCTGAGTAATGAATGTGTCAAATACATCAATAACACATTAGACACATCTGTGTGTGAAAAAAACAAACATCCTTTAGACATTCATAATTTAATTGTTTTATATAAAGAACCATCACCATCTTCATCAACATCACCACAATCATCTTCATTACCATCTCCACCACCATCATCATCATCTTCATCATCATCGTCATCTGCTTCTTTCTCATCAGTCAAAACTTTGCGGTTCACAGGCGTTTCCAGAACTTCTAGCATCCTATCAGCATCTCCAAAAACATCAGCAGGTGATCTTGTGCTGAAATACAATGTCATCCGTGGTCGAAGCTTTTTGAAGCTAATTTAATATATTTTAAAATAGGCAATATGGTAAAACTAAATAATTAAAATAATCCAATAAGTATTGCTTTACATATAGACCCCTGTTCAGTTGGTAAACATGGTGACGTTTTTTTGTGGGCGGAGCTTAGGTGGAGGCAGAACGATCCCTCTGGCCGCTTCACTAACGCTAGTTTGCAAGTT